GGGCTCTGTGCCAGCCCCACCGCCAGGAAGCCCCGCAGATGGCCTTTAAAAGAGGTAGGGTGCCAGAGGAGTGCTGGGCTTTCCACTCTGCTCAGGAAACCTGTGTGAAACGTGAAGCGTTAATAGAGCTGAAATTGCCGGAGCCTGGGGGGAGCGCGGTTAGCATGAACTGGTGCAGCCCCCGTGGGCTGCGGGTGCCCCAAGAGCTACCTGCTCCGCACGCCTGGGCCACCTGTGGTCGTCTCCACAAAAAGGAGCCAGCAGGGTGGGGGGGGGAGCTGCTTCCAAGCTTTCCTCTCCCTGCAACGAGCTCTGTCCTTTCTTTTTTTTTTCCCTAAAGGAATGCAGGGGGCCCCACGCCACTTGCAGTTTTGGGAGCTTGGCTGGGGATTTTCGGAGGAACCGGGTCTCCAGGCGCTTTCAGGGAGCTGCAGGTGAGGCTGTGCATGCAGCGCGGGATGGGAGGCAGCGTGACGCTGCGCGTGGGTGGGAAAGGTCGCGTGGCTGTGCCTCAGGTTTGCTGGGGTGCAGGGCAGTCCAAAAGACAACAGCTCACGGGCTTGTCTCCTGCCCCGGCACCATTCTCTGCCCCCTTGGCTCCTGTCACCCAGCTGTGAAACAGTCAGACCAGCTTGCTGCGTTAAAACGCTTCGATATAAATGCCTGAGAAGTGTTAAATACAGTTATTTATTTATAAAGAGTGACTGGGATTTTTTTTTTCTAGGGCATCATGGTTCGTGTGGTCTACTAAGTGATTCACCCAGGGTGCTAAATAAGAGGGTGCCTAGGGTGCAATAGCCAAATAGGGGAATAAACAGGGTAGCACTGGGATTTCTGTGCTTGATGGCTATTAAACCAGGGACAAATTGCCTTCTTTTTCCTGCAAAATATCTGTTTCTTGCCTCCCACCTCCAGAAGTTGTTCTGGCTCCTACTGAGTTATTTACTGTCCGGGAAGAGCAATTCCGGGCACAATGTCCTGCTGCCTCTGCTCCGACCTGCTCAGCTGCATAGGATGATGTGAAACTGAGTGTTAATGATACCCCCAAAAGAAAAAGAGGATTTCCTCTAAAAAAAAAGAGACACCGCAAGGACTTTGGTACTGAATTATACAAGCTGGTGAAGAAAAAAGGAAGTCCTGCTGCAGCAGTAGGTCAGCGTCATAGATGGGTATGCTTTTTTCGGTCTCGGTGATCATACATTAATTTGGAGTGTGACTGTGGTGGTGTAAGCCTTATCATTATGTGATTATTTTACCAGGGCACCTGTGAAACCATAAACCAGGACCTTGTTGTGTTCAGGGATGTGCAGAGAATAAAGAACGAATGCCCACCCGTGCCAAGCAAACCCAACTCATGATGCTTGGGTCTTCTTGTGATTGTATCCTTCCTACAGAGTAATGATTTATTGTTGCAACATTATGTAGTAGCACACTTACAGTTCCCAATGGGCATTTTGTAATTAGCTCACAAGCCAGGTTACCCTGGGAAAACTGAGATATTCAGTAAGTTGCGTGAGAACTTCGCTGTGCTGGGGAATAGGGCACTGTGCGCATTGCATAAAGGAGGTGTTTTTCCCTGGCAGATCCCAGGGATGTGCTAATGCAAAATCAAATCTCACATGTGTGCAAGTTAAACATTCTTGTGCGCTGACAGTCTCATATACTGGAGAGGCCAGAGAATGTATTGACAGAAAATCACAGGTCACAGTGCTATGAACTGATTGGTAACATAATGATGGCGAGGGAAGAACGGGCAGTCATTTCTGCTAATGACTTTGACAGCTGAAGAAACGGTATCATATCATCACAGGCAATGGATATGCTCAGTGGCTGTTCAAATTGCTGAAGATAGGACTTAGAAATAAATGACTCTTACAGCAGCTCTAGGAAAACCTGACATTTGTCAGAGCTCTTGGGGCAGGTCTTCCCCACCGCAGAAGAAAGGCTGGGAATTAATGCATTTCGCAGGTGGCCGGGATGATCTATGTATGTCAAATGTTTGCTTCAATATGCCTCTTACTGTGAGCAACAAATTATTTGAGGCGAGACTGTGTTCACAGCCAAAAAAAATCATGTACGTGTGCATTTCAAACATCAGTGCTAGCCGCAGCTTGAAGCTGGTGGTCGGTGGTTCTTGCTGTGTAGCTCTCTCTAGTGCTCAGCTCCCCCACGCGAAGACATGGAAATGTGTAGGTGCTTGGTTGAGGCATATCTTTTACCAAATGTGATCCCTGCATTTAATAGAGCTGATGAGTGGACTGCTCCAAACAGCAGGTTGGAGGCAAGCAGAGTGAAAGACCTATGCACTGTTCTTAGCTCTGGCAGCCTTTACACAGCCCCGAGATTTATGGCTCTGCCTTGGAAATCATGTGCAGTTTTACACGTTATAATGTTACAACTGATGGTACTTGTATTATCAATCCTAATTTTTCAGGAATTAAACTTCATTTCACATAAGGTTTCTGCTGGGCTAACAGAGCCCAGTGCCAGTTTGTACACATGCTTAGGAAAAACCTTCTCAAGGAAAAACATCATTTATTTCCTCATATTTATATGAGTGCAAAACAATAATGCTTTATTAGATTAAGCTGCATTTTTAGGCTCCTATAATATAAAGCTAGTTTTGTTCTCCAGCATACAATGTTGCATGAATTTAGTCTGTAATTCCTGTTGGCATTTATTTTAATTAAAAACACTGAAGTTACTAATTTTTGAGAACTGCCTGTTGCACATGTGTGGTAACTTTTGAGTTGTTTCTTAGTAGCTCTAGCTCAATGCTTTTTCCATTGTTTTGTCTTAAGTAAGGCTGCTGGGTGTTGGTGTTGCAAAGGGTCCAGTTTAAAGTTATGTTGGTTAAAGTGGTGTAGCAACTGCTATTTGCCGGGGCTATAGAAAATTAATTCTGAACAAGTGCTGTAGGATGAAATGGGGTATGTTCTATTCTTTGCCGTGGAGCATTTAAGTCCCTCTTCTTACTAAAAAATTTGGCTCAACCTTTTGGGCAGCAAAGTGTGCTTCCATATTAATGTGCACCACGTTGCTTCAAATAGATAGATAGTTTGTAACCACACAAGGACAGCAGAGAAACCAAGCTGTCGCTGAAACCTCCTCTTTCCCCAATCAGTAGGCCCTGAGGCTGTGTTCATCCCAGCTGTGCCTGGAAAGATCCAATAAGTGCTGTATTTTCTTCACCTATCCTCAGGTGCAGAGCGTAGCCACGACCGGCTCGGAGAGTCAGGTGCGGGGTGTAAGTGGAGAAGGAGCATCCCCATGCCCTGCTTGCCCCTGGGGAGCAGCACCCCGCACATCTCCAACTCACCCCAGCTTGGGGGTGATTGAGCCTGGCTCACTGCAGCCAAGGTTAGCAGGGCAGTAGAGTGAAAAGCAGTGCCTGATCCAAAATTAGTATGAAACTTTAAGTAATTTGGGGTTGACAGATAAGTTTAAGTGGAAATCCCATACCTTCCTATCCTCATACTAGATGGCGCATTCTGCTGCCTTACTTGGATGCTTGTGCTACCTTGTGCTTTGCCAGGCACCAGCCACTGCTTGCTCTCAGGTCTTCGGGAGGCCATTGTCAGGACATAGAGCGTGTTGGGGGCTATCTATGTATGTAAGCTTTAGTATAAACATATCCTTAAAAAGGAGAGCTCTTGTTTCTAAAGCCAGGCATGGGGTGTGGGTATGTTTGGGAAGGGAGATGGTCTAGGCAGGGAATTGCTCCCATATGGCTCTTTTGGGGCTGGTTTCATAGTCTGTTACCTGTCTTCAGTGAACAATTTAATAAAGCAGATTCTGCATATAAACAGTGATACTCTGTTTATAGTGGACTAGACAGTCCTGAATTCTTCCATTGCCTCAAAGCAGGGAAACGAAGCCGTAATAGCAAACCTTTGGTACGAGCGAGGATATTCTGGGGAGGGAACATGCGCTGAGCTACTCTGGAGTTTCACTGTTTATATAGTATTTGCCAAGTACCCTTTTTGGACAGGTTTTCAAATCAATAAGCAGTGCTGGGCGAAATATGAAGATGAAGGCAGAAGGACTGAGGCTTTTTATTATGTATTCACTGCTGCTTATGGGGTTTATAGAGTTACACCATAATCCTTTTCAGAATAACATCAGTGATGATTCTCGTCCATGTTACATTTCCACAGACAACC